GTCATGCTGTCGATGAGGATGATGATGCAACAAAAAACGAAACCACCAAGTGGTAGCTCACCTATATGGATCAGGTGGCCATGCTTGTCAAGCATGATGTTTCCGTTGTGACGATCTTTGACTTGGAGTAAATAACAAAATACACTGTAGGCAGCCATGCTCATGATGAAATTTCGACGCGCCTGTGCAGAAAAAAGAAAAATGAGGAAACAGGAGGAGATCAAACCTATACATAGAGACCGCAACAAACATATGTGACCAACCAAGTTTCCCACCAAAACTCGACGAAGTGGAACAATTTCCGGTTATCATTTGATGCGCACAATCACAAATGAAGGCAAGAATTTACGAGGAGAGGTGAAACTGAGAAAAACAATTCTGAAAGAACTGTAGAATGAGCACGACATCAACATAGGACCGAGGATAAGCATCGCCACAATGAGACGGCTTTTGATGGTGAGTCCCGTCTTATAACTTCTGCAGACACTTTGTGGCGCATCCGTTGAGCACCTAGAGGACATTTTAACCACCAGCTTCAATCCATATGTTGCAGCAGCAGTCTGCTTTATTTTTAGGTTACGGACTTTTGAAAATCTGTCACCTCGGTGCGACAGTGTGCGCCATACGCTTTTAATCACACTGATCACCACTGACATTGACAGAGACCAATATGAGCACACTGGTGTCCCATCGCTGTAGGAACATGTATGTTGATCAACTCAATAGCTTCGCTTGAACAAAAAGAAGCACTCTCGATGAACGAAGAATCGTCTTGCATGAAAATTCCGTCCCCCATCTACTGGTGAGAATGCGAGACGATAGTAACTCTGCCGCCATCCGAGTGTATGTGTTAGAGTCTTGAGCACCGATAAAAATAACCAATTTACTCGTTCCGGACGCCAAATAACCCACCGGATCGAAATCGACTGCTGTGAGAGTGCCGCATGCATCTGATCCATCTATAAGAATCCTCATTTCATCACCAGTGACGGAATGGCTCCAAGGAAGACTCCACGTGAACAGTGGTTCGTTCAGTAATACTGGTTAATATCAGGAATTCACATCCGCACATTGCGGTACAAGGACGGCCCCTTTTATACGAATAGAGAGGTGAATTGGATACTTCAAAAGGACGAAGTAGAGGTTCACCATTCTCCGTTCATCGATAGCCGACACCGCTATGTCGCGCGATTTTACTGAAACGACCCATACTCTTTATCTCCACCCGATTAAGAACACGTGAGTGGAACCAGCATGCGGAGCGTAGAAAGCAGTTTAGGTCCATGACTCCGGTAAGCAGATTTCGTGAGGCGAGGACGAAAAGACAGTCGTTAAAACACCACAAAACGGGTAGAAGTTTTGAGAAGAGCTGCACCGAATTCACTGTTAAAACCCCCTCAATAGGACAGTACCCACGCATGGTCCTATGTTTGTGTCGTGGCTACTTTCCACTTCTGCTAATCTGATATAAGTTAGTCCAAGACGTATTGCCGTGAAATCTGGAAATCCCTCCTGATGGTATCTGGTACTTGGTGAGCAAAAATCGTTCAATCCCGTTCACGAGCAGTCGCGTTGTCGCGAAAGACACAGGCGCCGCGGGAGTTACCATCAGAAAGAAGTACGAGGGTCAATTCGCTCAAGCCTCGATAGCAGTCGAGATGCGGAGATCGAACCACGGACCTTCTAGTTGGTAAATTTCCACCATAACCACTGAGCTATCCGGAACTTCAGGGAATAGCGCTGAGTCCGATCGAAATGGGTCGTATATTATGGCGATGTATCACCATAATAATTGAACGCGAAAGTGTTTCAAGGTGCTTGATGGGTCAACAGGCACAACTGAAGCAGGGTGATGATGGTGACTGCAAGAAAAATCACATGACATGACCTAACATTTCATTAAGGCCAAGTTAATTAGAGAAATTCTGAAGGCGTTAGAATACAGTAGAAAAACACGAGACATTCAACACAGGTGTTCCGGACCACGCACACATATTGAGAATCAAGAAATAAAACAATAATCGTACCAGCTGGAAGGACGGGGTTGTTTCGCTTCCGAAGGTGCTCAAGAAGTAGTCGTACATGCCACTGTCAGTTTGTCGGCCAATTTGATCGCGAGACTTGCTATCAGGCACACATTCAATAACTCCACGCTGTGAAGGGGAAAGTAAACAACAAGAGAACACTACATCCAGCGTTTCAGCAGCTGAAATACCTATTCCGCGGTCCCGAGGACGATACTACTTGGTTTTTGTGAAAAGATGCGGAAGGCGTAGATAACCGAAAATTTTGACATGTAAAACATGGATCTTCAGCGATAATTATAAGCCTACGGCAATTCACAACTAAATGGACCGTTTGCAAGACTCACTAAGTTCATTGTCATGCCACACAATCTTACGAAAAAAGCGATATTCATTACCCGGGACGAAAAGGAGGGTAGAAGTAGTTGGTATCGAAAGCTACAGTCTACAGCGTTCCACAGTGAACGATACACAAACCGAGTACGTGTTTCAACGGATGGATGGATCGAAGAAAAAAGGCACGAAAACTCACTCCCGGAGCGGTCGCCACCACTTTGTACGGATAGACGAAAAGCTCCAGGCCACACCTTTTGAAAATGTTTTTGAACAGTTGAAGAACTTGCAAAGCCAAAATGTCCTGTAGTAAAACGAAAAACACGAACTTTTATGGGCGACAAATGGTAGGAGTGCTCAAAAACACGAAAAAGGTTGTCAGATGGGTAAATTCAAGCTGCAAACGAAGTTGGGCTGCCATACAACAAGAGATGAACGAGAATAGTGGGAAATTCGGCCGGATCCACGGTACTGTAAGCGCGCCAGTAGCGAATCGTAATCGATCTGTTGTAGGCAACATAACAGACCGGCCACATCTTAATGTTAATAGCTATTGAAAAGATAGCCTCTCCTAAAGCGATCATGTACAGTAGAAAACTCAGGCCAGACTCGGAAATAGGCTATGATTTTTATTGAGTCACGTGAGCAATCAGCATCTCACGGAACGAAAACGACAGATTGGAACGTCCAACGATTTGTGGGAATCGGGGAGATGCGTTTTTGGTGTTCAAAAAACTCATCAGATCATGCTTTGCATATTTTTGGAAACCCTAGAATTCGATCGACTAGATTTTATCCTATTGTGGTTTCGTGAAGATAGTGGCTGTGGTGTTCATCGACAGCTAGGAAACAAAATTCACAGGCCGGATCAGCGTGCGAAACGGGGATCCGCAAGCTCACATGGGCCTCAACAAAGCGGGAGACAAGTCTTCCAAGTATTGTCCCATTACGCTTCTATTTTTCAGTATCTTTTCGCATCAAGGTTTGATAAAAGTCCCAAAGAAGACCATCTAGCACAATTGGACTGCATCCAGATGTGAGGCCCGTCGGATCAAGGGTGACCAGAGTGAAAGAAAACAGTAATGCAATAAACAGAGAGGTGACCTCCATATCTCATAGTCAAGTTAAATGTTCGAAAAAAAACACAAGAATACTACAGCATGCATTCGAAAAATGGTAACCCGTCGCCAACGGACGTTCGACAGGCCATCGTCATCAAACTCCTCAAGCACTTCGAATTCCCTGACTTAGACCACTGCCCCTCCACTGCCCCAAAAGTCTAACTGTCGCTAACCTCAGTACCTCTTCAGGCACACACTGTAAACTTGCCAGGCTGCAGAAGCGAATGAATGTGACAGACCCCAGGGTCCAATAGAATTCTGCCTCATCATAAATTGTCACACAGTTTGCAAACGTATGGGCTCACCGAGGCATTTGCTTATCACACCAGTGCTTTAGTAACATGCGCCGAAGTACTTAATGAACCCAAATAGTTGGTCCCCTCCAAATATGTTGCCCGAAGAAACGGGGTGAAAGGCACATACCATCCAATAAGCGCTTCAGGGGGAAGAGACGGATAAAATGTTTTTCTGAAGGACGGTCGCTGCAGGGGAGGTAAGTGCACGTAAAGACATTCTTAAACATCTTAAGATGTGCATACAGATTAAAAAGCTGACTCCTGTGTTATCGCCAAAAAGGATAAATGACCGCAATGTGTACTTGCCTGTCGCACATCATCACCAACTTTGAATATGCAGGCCTGCATTTGGCTACCTGAACTTCCAGCGAGTTGCTTATCGGTTAAGGACGGACGTCTCGAGGATTGGGCTGTCAACGGTTGCCGCGACCGCGGACGGGATCCGAGGGTACTGGGTTTAACGGGTACTGGGTACGCAGATGGGCTTGGTTTGCGAGTTTGCAAACTATTGCGGCGACGAAATTTGGTACCCATGTGAGGACTGAAATGAAGCAACGACTGCCTTGATAAAAAAGCATCCTTAAGAATCCAGCATCAGCTAATACTCAGGCTTGCAGAACAGCTACCCTTAAACAATTTGAGGTACTGGGTACGCAGATGGGCTTGGTTTGCGAGTTTGCAAACTATTGCGGCGACGAAATTTGGTACCCATGTGAGGACTGAAATGAAGCAACGACTGCCTTGATAAAAAAGCATCCTTAAGAATCCAGCATCAGCTAATACTCAGGCTTGCAGAACAGCTACCCTTACAAAAACAATTTGATTGGTAAGGCTCATAACTCTGCTCCGGAGCAACCGCTAGGTGGTGGGCTTCGAAAGCCCATAGAAGACTCCTCACTACATGGACATGCTCACTTCGTTAGTGTTGCGGTTGCAGAACAACCCGGTTGCAATAGAATGGTGTAGGGTAGGAACTCACTTTGCTACGATTAAACAGCATTTTACGGATGAAAGTCGTACATCTGATGCTTGGCTGTAATTCAAAAGTCAGTGGCGAGCAGGCTCTTTCACGGACTGGTCAAAAATCATTTGTTCACGTATTTCGTAGATTACTTCTTAGTTCTTGAGATGCAAGCGCAGTTGAAATGTACTGACTCCCATTAGGAAGGAACACCAACGACAAAAACGTTCCTGTGGGTGAATTAGTTGTCATCGGGATCCCCAAAACACTAGACAAGGTCCCTAAGATAGAGGCGTGTAAAATGTCGAGGCCACTCGCCGAACAATGGATGGTAAGTCAGTACACACACAGATAAAGTCGCTAAACGAGTACAGTAACTCAGTTTGAGCCCTAGACGTAGTAATTTCGCATAAGCCAGAGCACTGTGCCATACGGCAAGAATACCGAAGGCAGGGAGGACCAGGACCAGAAACACACCAATGATCATCGTGAGGGGGCCAAACGATGTTGTTGCCTGAAACCTCACCTGCACGAGTCTAGTCAGCATTGACTGGATCATCGTGAGGGGGGCCAAACGATGTTGGATGCCTGAAACTCACCTGCACGAGTCTAGTCAGCATTGACTGCTAAGCTTCCCGCCTTCAAAAAGAGTACGGTGCATTCGGTCTACCTGGAGCAAGAAGCACCTAGGGTTCTACAACGGCCTGGTTGGTACAACGGTTTTCGCAGTGTTTATGTATCCTTCTTGAATACTGGAATAATTCTGGAGGCGAGTCACTCCATAGATGCTTTTCCTACACTCCAATTAGCGCACAAAGCCCTGTCACACATTGAGCCTCCTCCTCTTCTTTGGACATGGCTAGGTGGAATCCGTCCACGCCTGGTATCTTTTCCCTTCTTAAAAGAGGTAGTCCGCGTTTTATTTCTTCCTCTGATGGATACGTAAGGTTTGCAGCCCACCAAATAGTGCACCGTTAACGAGACGAATATTGTGGAAGGCCAGTTTGGGTCCTTCAAAGGACTTAGTCTGTCGTTCAAAATGGCGTTTTGCACATGATTTAATGAACGCTCTTTTTACCTTGGCCGTTTCGCCGACAGTTATCTTAATTTGGCCAGTTGATCGGATGACGCGATACAAAAAACTGTTACCATTTACGGAAACCACCTATCATACTTCGCTTCGGTTTTCCATCATGCTCGTTTTCNAACGCCTCGCCTGAGGATACTGTGTGTTGTCGTACTAGTTCCCTGCTAGTATATATTTATTGCCATTTCTCAGGATTAATGATTTCGACGACACTTGGTGACCATTTGATCTTCTACGAAAATTCAAACGAACAGCCTTGAACACTGCGAGTATAACTCCCTTTTCGTACTGACCAGCATCATCCGAGTGTTGTGTCGGTTTCTTACAAATAGATTCTGAGTAGGCTAAGATCCATACTGCTAGGTTGCAGTAGCTACCCTAAAATGGTAGATTCACTTAATTTTTGTTGATCTGTGAGCGGATTCCTAGACGTGCGAGCATGGTGGGCGTGATCGGAGTTAAGTTGTGCGTTCGTTCCACAACTAACTCACCTACGGGGATAAAAAACAAACTTCCTGAGCAATACTATACTGTCAACATTATGATCACCCGGAGTATGCTTCATTGGCGCAACAAAGATTGACAGAAGCGTATTGTTTTGTGGAATATCCGTGACGAAGGCTGACCGAATTGAAAGACAAACTCTTACTACTCGATTACAGACAGTGAGAATGACGTAGGTGACCGCCGCAGATGCGTGGACACAGGAAGAACAGTGAATTGAAACCGCTCAGTCCAAAATAGCTGTGGATGTGAAGTGAGTAGAACTAAGCTCAAGTCATGTTCTAAACTTAAATTTATGGTGAAACCGATAGAATAGTGGCGCGCTTAGAACACAGTAATAGAGATAACCGTTCTGTCCAGTTTATCAAATGTAAAACTGTACAAAGGGTACGTCGGTTGCAGCTGCTACAATGTTAGTCCTCGGAAAATGGCGGACCGTGACAGACAAAGTAAAGCGTTGAAGGCGATGGCATAATCAGCTAGTTCGGAAAATGGGCAGCTACGCATTGAAGCCGATTGCTTTGGGACGTCAGCGCCACTGACCACGCGATTGAGTCGTCTCCCAGTGTCAGTGACTATTGGTGAGTTGAGTCCTGGGCTCCACACCCAGGGAGGCGGTATTTGTCGAACCAACTGAGTTTACCCATTGGTATTTTCATAATTTGTTACCAGATAATTGAACGTGCACCTATTGGTCGCTTCTACTCAGCACAGGTTTGAGCAAAATGAACTCCGTGTGGTAGACAGTCCTCTGGCACACGAAGTACATGCCCTAACCGGGCAAAACATACAAAGTGTGTGCAGCTCACCCATCAGGGGTTCTTTTTCCTAAAATCACCGGGGTGTACCTCAACAACGAAAGTTCGATGTTCCCATCAAATCTAACCAATGCTTCGAGGACACCGACATTGACAGTTCGTACGTCCTCTGGGCCTAAAGGCCACGTTCCTGATACATGAAGCAGTATGAATCACACCACTGAAATGTATACTCTGCCCTTTACAGAAAAATGGACGTCAGTCATGGCTAAAAGTGTCGTAAGTTGGCAAAAGCTTCCCTAACCTTCCAGATTCGAAATGACTTGCCTCTCTGAAGTATCTGAACCAATATCGTCCGCATACTTAATTTCCGTAACCGAAAGCCTCGGGAGTATTCTAATCCCCGAGGTTTCAGAGGTAGGTCCAGGAATTTCAAGCAGCGCGTCAACAAATTTGAAAAGGAATGTCTCACACCACTGGATGTGGTGAAGTCAGCTGAAATATTGTTCTATACTAGGGCGAGATGGCCCAAGTGGTAAGAGCGCGAATTTACCGACCGGAAGGTTCGTGGTTCGAATCCGACCTCCGCCTCTCGACTTCCCCTGTCTAGGCTTGGGCAACCTGGCAGTATCCCAGCCCTCGTGCTTCCTTCGGGTGGCATGGCAAATAGGCATCGAAAGGGTGCTACAGCCGAACGCTTTCTTTTCTTTCTTTCTTTCTATACTAGCTCACATGAGTTCACATACAGTGCCCTCATAATTGACATAAGTTTGATAGAGAGGTATTTGATCGCCAGACACCACCGAAGTTTGACAGTTGGCACAGTCAAAAGCAGCTTTCAGCCTAGGAAAAACTACCAACGTGAGACGTTTGAAAGTGACGCTGTTCAAGAAGTTGTCCCAATGCATATATAAGTCGGTACATCCTCGGCCAGGAGGAAAGTCAGGTTAATATATAGATGAATGTCTCTCGGTAATCCTGGACCAAATAATTCCAGAGAACCTTGGACACCACGGCTGACCTACGATTGTTTTCGCACAGTTTGAAGACTAGGATGAATGTCGTCCCAAATCTTCCTTTGTAGGATCGTCGGACTGCTCACCAGGACCTCATCATTTTCTTTGAAGACTGCGCCGTGCACACTATTCTGGCCAGGCGTCTTGTTAAATTGCGGGAATGATATCTCATGCAGGCTTTCTGATATTGATGGCGGCTGATGTGGATATCCCATTCAGGCTAGTTGGGTTCACCCAGAGGCTACACTAAAAAAGACCATCCTGGATGACGGTTTTGTGAGTAAATAGCCGTTCAGTCTTTTCCACATACCGTTTTGCTGAAGCTGTCTTCTTTTGGACAACTGATTGAATCAGCCGAAGCTACTGTGGTAGGGGCAGGCACGACACCTGGACTGTGGACGTCAACAAAGAATCGAGGAATTTTTGTGAGAACCCAACGTGCCAACTGTGGTATACATTCACAGTGACCGGAGGTACATTCATTGAGGCGAACATGAAAGGTCTATCGAAGAAGTTATTATCAAGCAAATCAAATGAGCCTTTTAAATCCCAGTGAGAACAAAAATTCAATCTAACTGTCAATAGGAATACGCACCAAGGTTTTTCGTTGCCTAAAGAGTCCCGCCGTTGGCCCAAGGACTGTGTATTCTGGTTGGTAGCTGCAGCAATAGCTTCGGTTTCCAGGTTGCGCACACCAACACGACGCACCTGAAAGTACAGAGCAACAACAAATGACGACACGTTAACTTGCGTATTTTCCCATATCAAACAATCCACTATCGCTCTCCAATAGTTCCGTGTTGTTTGACAGGGAACGTTGAAACGTTTGGTGTAGGATGAGTACAAAAGATGCGTAAAAACAGTATGAGATGGCTATCCTACCAGGGGAGCGATGAGTAGGCGAAATTCTGTGAAAATGAGCTTTAAAGAATGGGAAAGTGCACTGATTGGGGTACAAGAAAGGCATCATTCTGTGGTTCTCCGTTGCTTAGAAACGTCGGCTACAAGCAGACCACTCTGGCTAATCCCAGAGAAAGTTTTCGAAGTCTTTCAGAGCTGTGGAGAACAGAGTTTAATGTAACGAGCAACTGACGCTCAATACGATCCCGCGTGACTGGAAAGTGAAAAGGTTTCAGTTGAGCAGTGATTACGATAAATTTTAGAACGAGGTAGAACAGAGCAGAGTAGAGAACTGGAGATGAACAATAACTTTTATGGTAGTGAGCACGATAAACGGGCTTGCTTCAGGGCACATAGGAAGAAAGACCTTCGAAATAGTTTCAGTGAGTTCTAATAATCCGAGATTACCTAGGTGCCCGATTTTATACCTGTAAAGAATACAAACATGAGAATTCGTCCTAGGAATAAGTATTTTGGAAATGGATCACGACAGTACTGTTTATAAAAAGGACGTGTGGCTTAGTAGAAAAAACTATAGAACGGATTAGTTTAAAGGAGGGAGAACTCTGCACCTCCAACTAATCCAACATTATAAGGAATACCTTATCCGCGCTAGTCACCTCCATTGCGAAAAAAATAACTGTGAGCGAGGAAGCCCCACACTGAACTTACACTGAAACTTTCCACACTAGAACAGTAAATAAACGTTCGGCTTTTTCACAAAAAGGGGTGTTTTCATTCACCACGAACTATCTTACAGAGACGTTCTACAGTTCTCTATTGGTAGCTACTTTTCGGTCCCTTTGTGCAATACGACAAGACACTTTTCGGAGTGCGATAGCGGGCTTGACGTTATCGGTCCCAATGCAAATCACTCCCATGAACTGATTCATCAAATTTAGGTTCGGTTGGTATACAAGCATGCATATTTTTGAGCCTCCCATAAGAAGTAGCGAACCGCGGTTTCGAATTATTCACTCCGGTCCTTATGGGTGCATTAATTCCCGCAGTAGAATGTCAACTACGTTGGACCGACGTCCGAACCGATATTTTTAATCAGTGTCCAATCAAGCAACTTACACGGTCACCTGCAGTAAGCTTAGGAGACCCAACATGGTCTTACTCGTAGACAGTTGCTGAAACGCGAAAGTACTGGTTTTTATCATGATGTGACAGTTCGTTTCCATCCATAACCCTCTGACACTAGTATGACAACAAGGTTCTCATTCTCGTACCCTCCAGGGGAGGTGAATGGTGACTTGTTTTTTAAGAACGCGTAGAGTTTTAGTACGCCAACACACACCTGCAGCCTTCTGGTCAGGTTTTTCTGGTCAAAGGCTTTCCTTAGTGGCATTAAACGCGTTCTTTTGTCCGGAATTGTCCGAGTCTGCGCACAACCAGAAAGTTTCCAAGTAAAAGTAACCTCACTCCATGTGCCGGGTCGCTTTAATACCTGCATAAAGTAAGGCGGGCAAACAAATACAAATACTGATATCCCACTTCACATGTTCTCACATACTCTCATCCCCTCACCGCAAATCAGTCTTTTGCAGACCTTGAGGGCTCAGTTTACTTTGAGCCATCCTAAGCAGCGGCTTCTGAAAGCAGCTGTCATATCGAGACCAATGTTTAAACCCCGAAGTCCGATCGACTTAGTCACCTTTATCATAAGTGTTCAAACGTCAAGGAGCCGATTAACCCTACATTGGCCCGGGCTTCCCCCAGAAACAGGGATTCAGGACACGAGTATTATTATATTCTTCCCAATTTTGGTTTGACACCTTTAGCCAGAAGTGCTTTCGAAGCGAAATTCGCCGCCGTATCAGGGGCATCTCAGAAAATGTTCCAGTTTATATGTGCTACTGTTGGAAAACAACCGGGTGTTGGCGAGTCGATTCGCAGTTCTTCCTTGAGCATACCCAGAACCAACGTGAAGCAATATGAGACAGTTGAAAAATTCGGCTAACCCAGAAATTTGGTGGGTTTATGAAGGTCTTAAAAAAAGGGAACGTTCGTGAAATGCCCCGGTGGATTTGCAGACTAGACTCTAGGATAGTCCTTGTCAGTGGAAATATCAATAACCATAAAGTTATCCTGCTGACAGTGGGAGTACATTTGATGAATCCAACGAAAGAAGCTGAAGGTTCTGAATTATGTTCGCCAATTTGCGACATTTGAAGGTCACATGTATAGGCTACTATTTCAGGGTGGCGAAGGCCATGAGTGGCCTATATCACTCGAAAACGAATGTTCGACTGCGCAACAGGCGCTTCAGTTGCGGGTAACGTTCGGTACCATGAGATGTTGGCGGCTGTAGTATAATTGGTCGAAGGGCAAAAAGGTAAAGCCGATAGTGAATCAAAGTGTTAACTGACAAAACCTAAGCAAAGTAGGTCAAAAACGAAAGTTGGGGTGCTGAAGGTTATAGTAATCAATCTGACAGAATAAAAATAAGCTGAGTTGCGAAATCGTGCCGACTTACCTTAAATTTGGCCAGAAATGGTGCTTTCGCGGCTGACTGTAACGGAGTTCCGGACTGGTAATCTATCTCCAATACAATCGCATCCGGATTAGATGGCAAATAACAACCAGGTTGAACGACTATCTCGCGTAGTGCTTCCAAGCAAGCCTTTTTCCGAGCTGGTCCTTTTGGAAAGTTTCTGCAAGAAATGAACGTCACATCTGTAGTCCTCATAGACCACCCAGATAAATTCAATCAGCTCACCATATAATCAACAGAATAATACGATTTTACGGTGTTGTGGTCACTTTTGTTCATCAGCCCCAAAAGCCCTATTCCATCCATACCTAATGATCGCTCCCAACACCCTTGCGGAAAACGGGCAAAAAAGGAAACTAATAACCAGTGTCAGGGTGTATGTGGTTGATAGCTAAGTAACTGAGGGGAGTGAACTGAACAAGTAGAAGCTATTGGCAACAGCCAACCAACTGGATGTGGGAGCGAACGAAAGAATAGAGTGATCAAAACGGACTCCAATATACACTGTACAGTTTGTAACGATCGTTTCCCCTCAAACAATGCGCTTGCAGCTTCCAAAGAAGCAGGACTAAAACCTGGTCGGGTTGTTACATTTGGTCAGTACTTGAAATTGGTGGAAACGATGAAGTAGAACAATGTCTTACTGTTACTCTTAAAGTTGTCTGGAACTGTTTCAGACACGAACAGAAACTGGTTAGAACCGGCAAGGAGGCAAAAATTATACCTGATAATTCCGGATACTCCCGTTATGCGGTCGAAGAATTCAAATTCCCGTTTGTAGAATGCAAGCGAAGGACCACTGAAATTGCGAAGTATGGTTTCACGTATCGCGATCAAGTGTGTCCCAATGTCTGGGTCCAACTTGGTCCCTTCTTCGTCGCGATAGATATTAGTATTCATATTCCACAACAGCTGATGGGCCAGTAAAGGTGATCGTTTGGCCGAAGTCAATATAGACTCGGTAAGATAGCCAAGCTGTGAAGAGACGGGGAAGGGAATACTGGAGTATTAAAAAAGGCGGCCAGCGAGGTGATGCAGTAACAGGATTCTTCAACAGCACAAACCGGAAATTCCTCTTGTACGCAGAACATAAATGATCCATTGTTACACGAAGTTCTCAGGGCGGACTAGAACAACTTACTTTGTCGTATCGGACACCTTGAACCAGCTGAGGCACGTAGAACAGCATGGTTTCCGAAGGGTAGTTGGCCAAAACTCGAACTGCGTATTGATGGGTCAATGGATGTTGAGGAAACATTCGCGAGAAGAAAGACAAGGCGACAATGGGTGCCGTCGTTGCCCAGGTGAGAACATGCATTAACTGAGAAGAAATTACAGAAAACATGTCTGTAGTTAAAAAGAGCAATTGAGAATCTGACAGATTGAGAAAACGATTGAATTGTCTGCAACGCTCTAGTTGACGACCAATCCAGCAACCCGAAGTCTGTAATGCTAGTTAAACCAAGGATGTTGATCTCTGAAACGGGATACAGTTGAACCCATACAATACAAATCCAGCCAAATCTATGAGTAGAGCATGTGTTAGGCAACCGAAACTGTACACACACAGACAGGTCGGACAACCAACAAATTCAATCAATCAGTTAGCTATAAATGAAAGGATATATTCCGCATAATGTCCATACGGATAACCAAAGAAACAAAACGACGAAACCTCGCTTACTCACCCCCAGACAGACAAAAAGGCCTTACAACCAAGTCTGACGTCTGGAAACGTCGATTTGTCACAGAGATATCCCAACGTCCCAAAACAACAGTAGACATCCTAGACCAACTAACACGCTATTATCCGGTCAACGAAACAGTCATTGACATTTGTGTCCAGTACTCATGATATTTACGAAAGGTCCCGATGAGCGTGAAAAGAACGGTTCAGAGGGTTGAGCACTTCAAAGGGTATTATAATCCTGCACTTGCTCACTAATTAGAATGCATCATATTAAATCCTCTAACTTGATTCATTAACCTTGTGGAACAAACCACGTAGCCGGTAAGACGGTGAAGCTGATAAAATAAATTTGATCGGGCCGAGTAGAACAAGTCAATGAGGAGGGAAGAACGAAAGCGTACATTGGAAAATGGCGATTCTACCTATTGAATAGAGGATGTATGAAGAGAATTCAACACTGTGAAAGCCGATCACCGTGATAAGCTACTGAATATGATGTGGGAAATAGGTGAATGAGGACCATAGGTGATTTTAAATCAATTTTCTACACACCGCGGTGCTAGGAGTCTGGCTTCTATTTGGTTCTGAGGGCTAGACAATCATACACGGACAAGACCACCATTTTACTGGTCAGTGTTAAGTTAAAAACTAAAGTTGGGATACCTCAAACAAACAACCTTCTTGAGAGTGCAGTACCGATAAAGTTGGTGGTCTCTGTAGCCTTCCCTTCATCAACTCTTCCTAGCAATACATCCAGAATTTTCAACATGACTGATCTAATTACAGCAATCTTTAGACTTCACAAGCGGTAGGGAGACCTGTGTCAGACGCCATTGGGCTAGTAGCTTATGATTAATCCGGTATATTTAAGGCAGTCAAATGTTTAACATCACCTGAGCAGGAGTTCCATAGTAGTCGATTAAGCGTACTCATCGTATGAACAGATTTTCGTGAGTACTTATCTTTATTGACATCTGCCGGCTGTCTCACTAGACTTCAGAAGATGACCTTGTCTAATATGCACTGTTGGTCATCGTATTGTTTTGCTCACGCTGTGCCAACCCTTGTTGTTGTATAACACATGTTGCCCCCGTTCAGATCGGTTTCCCTTCCTGCATTCAGGATTCTCTAAAACGTTATCTTCAGCCGAGTTGACTGTGCTACTTGGGCAGTTTGATCAACCGAGTGGTCCTCCTCGTTCTCGTAATTCAATATGTAAATAATCTCAAATTAGCTGTCGAATAGGTCTTAAAGTAGTATCTAGATTGCGGAACCCATTCGAATTTCGCGTATTCATTATCCGATTCGGATCTCTCAACTTTTGCTTCGTTTTGCGATATAGTCCCGGAATACACCGCGGCATCGGCTATAAACCCGTACACCATTATGTCGTAACGCATTTTTGTTGTGTTCAGGGCCGATGTGGGCTGTTCAGCATCACCAACCTGGGTAACATTATCTTAGGCATAAACCACTAATCAGTGATTCACTAGTGACCTTGAAGCACCACTGGTTAAACATATGAGCATCGGGCCTAGCCAGTGAGGCTCCGAGTCAATAATTAGTTGAGCCACTTAAACGGCATTAATGGCATTCTGCTCCTTTTCAATGCCCAATACAATGCTGCATGAATTTCGTGCGTATGATATAAGAAACGGGAGGATAACAGGGTTGGGTAGCACACGCCGAAAGTGGTCAAAACTATCGCCAACTGAAGTGGAGGGAAATTCAGTTTCAAAAAACTACGGAACTGACATGTCGTGAGATAGTATATGACACCATCTGATATAGTGCTTCGAGGTAAATTTTCATTCTTAACAACAGTGAAACTCAATCAGACCAATGAAAATCTGCTGTATTCCCTTCGAATGGACTGGAACAGAGGTCCGTTCGGGTAAAGTTTTTGCTGAGGGGAGGTTGCAATGAGGTAAGTTGCCATTGGAATGAGAATATTACACATAAATCTCGTGTGCGTAAACCACAAACCCAGTTAATTAAAAAGTGGTAGACTGGCACGCAGTAAATCATCTATGTGCAGACCGAAAGAGAAGAAAGCGAATAGGAGCAGACTTACCTCAGGTGTGTCTGCTTCAATGTTAGCTGATGTTGCCAGATAATGGAGGGCATGTGGGATATGCGACACTAGTTGTGGGTGGCTGGTGACTAACAAGGATATTTCGCGACGTAAACTGTCCGAAGCCCTGAACCTGATGTGGAAAACCGAAGCAGAATGAAAACTTCAGTGGATGAGGAGGACGGTTGCCTGTAGAGCAGACCAAAACTTCTAGAATGAACACAAACACACCTCTGAGCCAGATAAACAGCAACACATGGACACAGTTCCCACGCCAATGTCACCCAACGGCGCCAGTTCTTCTCCCGTAACAAGGTGTCACGCAACCATTGCTCAGCTTCAGTTTCTTTGGGAGAAATAAGTGCGGTGTCTCCCAGCGGGTTGAACCAAACGGAAATCCTTTCTATCTCCGAAGCCTATGGAAGAAAAATGTTATGTTCAAGTCATAGAAAAAATTGAAAAGATGACACAGCAAGCAAAGAAGGATTGTGTATCTATACCTACGCGGAACTGATCATCGATAGCAGGCACAAATAGCGACTACAATGAAACAAACATTCTATGCTGCACGTAGAGCCAAACACACCATAAAAGATGAAATATTAGGCGCGGAAAGTTGGTTTTAACCAGTCAGTATATCAGAAACTTTTGCCGAATCAACAACTGGACAAAAAATAGTTTTGTCACTCCATAAAACTTTTGAGATTATCAGCGCTGCATCCAACCCTTACAATCTCCGTTCAAGGACACTCTGGACAAAATGGTCTTTGAAATTATTATTTCAGATCACGGATATTCCTTGTCTGCAAAACCTTCGATTATTCGAGCAAGAAATACTTCATCTTCATTAATGCTCACGTTATTACCACCCCACAGGTGACCCTGATCTCAGTTCATTAGCTGGGCGATTCGCGATGGACCTAGTCTTACTCATCCAAAATAAGACGATAAATGATCATCAGTCTAGAGTAGAACACACACCACAGACACTGGGAGAGTTGGGCGATTGGACGAAAGTTTTCCACATCAGATTACTTGTCTATCACTAAAATGATCAAGGTTATGTGTCCCCATGGCCAATAAAGTAGAGATGAAGTAGTTTTTGTCGGGTACCCTCCTTAGAAAGATAAAATTACAAAAAAGGTTCCTGTAGAATGATGGCCGATACAAGAAAGTGTTTCCCTTCCAAACTAGGAGAGAACTGTCAGTGGGCTTTCCAACTTGAACATGAGCACTTGTATATAGCTCACGAGCACCCATGTATTCATTGAACGCAGTTGTCTTTTTTTAGTTCGTATGAAATACTACAGTAGGTAGAAAATGAAATTTCTGCGACTTCCTCTGATTTTGGATTAATTTCCTCCCTAAACTCCATGAGAAAGGCGAATGTGGTAGTCCAAGTTATAAAACGAGTACTCTATACTGGGAATCAGTTTCATTAGGGGGCGGTGGATTATGAGTTCTGCGACTTGTCTACGCTAGACGGTTTACCGCAGTTTGCGTACGGTTTGAGGCCGCACAGAAGGCACGAGGTGTGATACACGTTGAACAACGGCGCAACGAAGCAATCAGAATTTCATGTCGATATGAAAGAGGGAGTCTTCTTTGGAACAATATAAAACAGATTAATTCAAAGTAAGAGTGATGTAGCAACCAACAGTGGATATACTGACAACTATTAGGCAATCAGACAGGCAATGAGAAATGTTCAATTCATCCCTGTCGAACAGAATATCATAAACGGGAGATTCAAATGAATTTAGTTGAGTTCCCTGTAAAAATCAAAGTAGCCTGAAAATGAGTGTAGTTCGCGAACTGCGTATAATCTAGGTACAGGTAAAATATAAGGGACTAATAAACTCGGAAAGCGCGCTAACCTAGTAAGCCCTATGAAGGGTGAGAATGATCATGGTTGTCGATGCGTTTTTAACAGCCCTTTGAGTAGCGTACCTGAGGGAAACACACCTAAATATGTGGAACATCGTACCGAATGAAATGGCGCGATCTTTGTGCAACACGTCCAATTGAGGAAAAGCATAAAAAGAGAGATTTAACTGAGAATCAATGGAGTCTCCCTTTAAAACCAAACCGAAATGTATTTCGCGAGCTACGGAGAGGCTGCAACAAGCTGGTCTGAGGTTTTCTTTGCATTCGCTACTTATGAGTAGCGAGAAATATTCGAAATGTCATATGAGCGATTAGGACCGGGTCAAGGGGCCCGATGTGCACGTTACTCACCAACAGCAACAAAATTAGCTCTCTCTTTCGCATGTATATTTGTTTCAGAATACCTTCGCTCATGTGTGCATGCCCGCTGTGTTTTCCTGGAAAGCAGAGTAAATGAATAGAGAGAAGAATAAATGAAACATGCCAACGGAAGACAACTACAGAATAGAGCTGTGGCGACATGGATAACGAGGGCAGCTCCACGTAATGCAACAATGCACTACAAATTGTAGGTTGGAATCAGAAGGCAACTAACAAACATACCTGTGGCAGAAGACCTCTTGGATACAACAGAATGAGGCACGTTTGGAACAGGAGCGCCAGGAGGACCCATCGCATTTCCCGTATAGAAAGTGGATGGCAAGATTAGGGACCCAACACCTGGTCGCTCCAGCATCTGCCCAGACTGTAGCATAATTTGAGAGCGTAAGCGTGGTAGAGTGCCACCCAAAATCGGCGCGGTGTTGTACAAATGTTCATTCGTGGCCTGTGAATTGACACGAGGTATACCTGGAGAAGAGCTGGATGCAAATCCCTGGGGAGAACCAGAGCTTCCCAACGCATTCGCCGTCGACGGTGACATCGGGAGAAACTGTATTCCAATCACCTCTGAGGACTGGGTCCCAGTAGGATTGATTAACATATCAGAATAGGAGGGCGCGGTGGCAAATCCGGATATATTGTGGCCAGCAGCTTCAAACAAAGACTCCATCTCTCCACCAACGATTGAAGCTCCCAAATATTTCTTCTCTGCCTGCATCAGAGACCAAACACGTGACAGTGCCTTCAGATCGTCAGACAAATCTGCACCCTTGTGATTTGGGTATTGAGGCTTCACTCTGAAACAGATAACATATTTTGCACAGAGAGTGAATGCATTGCGGCGGTTGATCCTACACAGTATGCGTGTTTCCACTTCATCAGAACCACATCACCCCATTAAAGAAAGGGAACCTTACTCGCCCACATCAATTGCAGTGGATTGGTGATGTCTAGAATGAGCAAATGGATACGGGGATAATCTTTTCCCCCTACATAGAAGGCACACGACTAGCTTCGTAAGAAGACCACAGTATGTGGCTACACCAGTCACTGGAAAAGCAGTGGATTGGCAATTTTTCACGGATGTGAGTGGCAAAGAACAAAAACAATCACAGTAGTGTTCCCAAATAAGAACTAACCACGAAACTCATCAAACTAGTCACCAGTAAGACAACAACTAAGGCTGCACCAACGAGGAACCCTGGGACTATGACAGGACCCCATCAGCCATAATACGCGTGCGATACGAGCCCAAAAGTAGATTCATGAGGTGATACTCACACACCAGGCTTACGAAGCATAATGATGGTGGTGGTGATGATGATGACGGGGCAACCTATAGTTGTGAACACTGTGAGTAAGCTGGATACACCACAGTCCCCCATAGCCAGAGATCATGCAGTGAGACCAGCTAGAGACACTGACTGGTTAATAAACTGTTCACGCAACCACTCACGGTTGAAAGGAAGCTGATCGCAACTAGGCCAAACAGGAATATGTGTGAACTGCTTAAGGTACTGCTTAAGGCGCTGTTACATGCATTGAATAACTAGCGATCCGCGAAGGTATGACACTACACCAGAATAGCAGGAGAAAATCGTCAAAGATCTGGAAACAAAGTCTCGAAGTATTGCCTAAAGAAGAGTGTGTTAAAAGGGGAAATTGAGGATGAATACCGTACGGATTTCCTACTCGTATATGGTAGTTCAGTCTGACTAACCACTGTATCCATTGAAAACTGACCGAAAAACGAACAGTTAATCTGAAACATCTTTCCATCCCATTCACGTTAATAAAGCTGGACTGTCAGCTCTATTGTCCTTTTTATTCTCACACATAAAACCAATGCTACCGAATCTATCACTAAAAGGCACACACGGTAACAAAAATAGAATGAGTACGCAGGGATCGCATGACTATTCGATCGCAAGAGTAACAAAAGAAAGAATTTCAGGATCGGCAAACAGCAAACACAAAACACACACAAAAACACGACGTACGCAAAATAGTTCAAGATGGTAGCGTATGCTTTTTCTCGAAGAGCGATGCGACTGAGAAGAAACATCTGGCTGTGGTCCACCGAGGCCTGACTACCACTACTGCCACCAGGAGCACCACCGGCGGTTGTGGTTCTACCCACTGTCCCACCAGCTCCGCTCACCAAACTGGCAGCACTACTGCCACCCCCACCAACAGCACTGGTAACTTCTTCACCGATGGCGCTACTCCCGTGGGCAAGAGGAGGTGGACGGAAACCGGTGTTTTGTAGGAGATTTAGGCTCATTTCTGCCAGTCGACAACGAACACCAAGGGCAGAAATGCAACGCGTGAGCCGACCATACGATGGAGCACATTGATTGCTTGTGCAGGGTGCAAAACAGCAGGATATTGTGCCGTCACATTCGGAAGAATCTGGAAAAGGACGTACACATCGCTCGAGTGGGCCGATTTCTCCAGCCAGTGTTTTCTGCAGCAGGTCGAAAAAGATGTCCAGTTGCTCCTGGCTCGAGGACTGTGCGACGTACAGACGCTCGCTTAAAAACTGTCGTAAAGATATCAAGATGAAAGTCCAGTCATCTTTGAAAAAATTGAAAATGAATCACCAAACTAAAAAACTGACCATAAGGCGCATCCCCGAACCCTGAATGAACAGATGCAATATTGACTCGCAGTAGTGGTTCTAACGTATAATGTGATCATGTACTTTTAACATTACACTTATGAAGTTGTTTGACGGGTTACGTGTTGAATTAGTATAAAATATTTCAAAGTGGCACGTTGTGATAGCACGCAAAGTGAAATAAAATGCTCACGTGGTGGGAACCGTTGGAAAGATCAAGAGCAATCAGTGAGATCTCTAACCGGATCAATCGATCGCGTAAAACAAAACACTAGCAATGTCCCGGAACGATCGATCAAGCTTACTAGCTCAGGGGCGTATCAGGTTTCGGGTAGCGTATCGGACTGAAAATTAACTCCCCAAATAGGGTGCCAAACATACCAAGATTCGGAGCAACTCGAAGAACTGATAATCAACCAAGATAAAGTGCTGAAGCAGAATTGCTAGTGAAATTCTATTGAAGGTAAGTATGCATCAAGTTCAAACTTTGGAATCACAGGAGAGATTACCATGCTTTACTATAACATGAAACTCAGTAGAAAAACAACTTGGCTATCGATCACTGGAATGCAGACGGTGGGTGACATTACACTAGTAGGTTTTGAGCCTGCATCTAGCCGGCTTTCTCAAACATTTAACACCAAACTATCTAAAAATTCCATGGGAAATCCCGAAATTTTGCCGGTTTTTAATCTCGCTCTGATCAGGCGTCCACATGACCGCGTCGAGACAACAGCTTATCGAGGAATGATGGGGCGCTCGCAAGTCAACACAAAAACCCGGTGAACAGGCATTTACTCAGCTTATATTTGATATATTCTAAAACGATTCAGAAGCTCCTGAGAAATGGAAAGAGAACCACCATCTGAGGGGGGTTCCAACATTTATTCACGATAACCTGAGTCAAGTGCAACACCTAACTCAACAAAAGCTCTAGTAGGTTGCTGAATTCGGAACTGAGGTCCTCAGGTCCCGCATACAGTGCACGCTTGAACAATGACCTCTCGTATGCACGGAATAAGCCTGTCAATAACAGTGGGTGAAAAATCACAACGCCAGATGCCACGTCCGGAATGTAAATGTATGGCAATAGTTGAAAAACTCCACGAAACGTATAAAAAAGATGATAAACCTGTTATACCTGCGACCAAAGTTGATGTGGACCTGCGTTGCAGCTGGGTGGTTTACACTGTATCTCGTCTGATACGACCAAAGGTCCAACTTCACCATCGTCAAAATTATCGGGAGCGAACACACCAAGACCACGATGTATGCTTTCTTGCCAAGCATCACTGAGCTCATTCAAGAACTGGAAGAAGAAGTATGTAGGCAGTGTAACCATTCGATAGAGTGATATCGGTAATCGGCTAACGTACAAAGACCAAAACGATGATAAGAATACCACAGGTGGAGTCACTGGATACACCCAAATTCATCCCAGGCTAAACGGAATTAAATTCAGAGGAAAGCAGGGAATTCGCGTCCTACAAATGATCCTTCTCAGGAATCTGGTCCTCTGAATGGACCACATTCAATATGTATTTGAAGTGTATTTTAATGGCAGTCTCTCACTTTCGAAAGATTCCTTGAAGTGGTCTTCCTAAAGATGAACAACCGTAGTGGAAACTTTTTGGGATCGACTGAGTAGTCATTACTTCAGGGATGTTTGGTAAGCAAGGAATGGATTAATTGCTGGTTAACGGATTCGAGTGTCCGCTGACGGTTTTCTGGCGTTACGTAGGGGGCACGTTTGTTGTGATGGAGCGTGATAACATTAACGGACTACTTCAATATCTCAACATTTAGGACCCTCACGTTAAGCTTAGTATGGAGCTCGAGTCCAAATGGGGAACACTACCCCTCCATGACTGCATGATGCAAAAGAATGGTGGGAAATTGTAAACGACTGTTTACCAAAAATTAGCGGAGAGTATGCGATCCTAAACTACACCTCAGTACACCCAAAAGCAGTACATGCTAGTGTAGTTTCAACGAGTAAGAAGACTGTGCGTGGTGGAGGTCGACCGAAGAGCAGCACAGATTTAGGTAAAAAAAAAGCGACCTTAAGACAGCAGATACCGCGTGGGTTTAATTCAGTGGCAACTAAGACGGATAATGGTCACAACACCAAGACCCAGAAAGAGCTAGGTTGGAACAGCAGTCATTCCATACAAAACAGGGACATCTGAAGTCATTAGAAGGATGTTGGACACATCTGAGTGGCACTCCAGAAGGACAAGACTTTACGCTGTGTTGGTGCAGTTCAGGGAGCATCTTTCGGTTGAAATGACTAGGAACTGCGTATACAGAATAAAATGTAACCACTGTACGAAAGTTTATATAGGTCAGACAGCCACAAAATGGTGCACCAGAATTGGTGAGCATAAGCGATGCATTAACAGACCACCGAGAAAATAACATGAATATCAAGAGATAGTCGAAAACTCGGCAATGGCAGGTTATGCACGAGACACTGAGTTCAAAGTAGATATGAAAAATCTGAACATTGAGACAAGGACTAAGATTCAGACAACAGTGACTGGTGGCGGGGCGGTGGAAATCGCCAAGCGTCCGAGGGTGAATAGAATAGAGGGTATAGAACTGGCAAACGTGCGGAGAGCTGTTTTAGATCAACCGATAATACAGAGGCGGTGTGCAGTTGTAACCAAAATGGTCTGGGTCAAAAACTACAGATTCCAATCAGAGTAAGATCCACTTAACCCTTTCCCAACCCCCATTTAATCGTCCTGGTACCCCTCGATGCACACAGACCAACAAAATTTTTAGACAACCCGTAAAAGAAGTATTCCATTAAGGTGACCTAGACTGGAAAAGCAAGACCGCAAAATCAATATATCGTAATTGTTAGTCAACCCCACAAACCAAACAACAGGAACTTCAGACCGACATCCAGCACTGATCAAGTCGGCTAGCCATAAATCATTATCATCGACAGCATGACATCAGTGTTCAACACTGATGTCTCACTGCCGTACAACCATGATTTAGTTGAAAGCCTTATTGTAAAGAAAAGAGTAAAGGTGGACGGGGAAGGGACGTAGTGCTAGCTTAACACAATCATTCCGAGGTGCATACACCTCCAGACATTCACTCAAGCAATCTGGATAGAAACTGACAACAAGAACGTCACTGACATCGGTTGGCAGCCATATCTTGTAGTGTCTCCAACCAGGCACAGTGAGGATCACGCGGTCCCAATCCTGGAAGGCAAGTAGCACCGACAGCAACCAAGCGTTTCGTGATCTCCTTCATACTCCACTGCCA